GCAGCATGCAAAAACGCTAATCTGCACTCATGCGTTCGCTCATTTTCAGGCTGTCGGCCAAGGCACCGACTCATTGTTGCAGTATTTGTCTTGGCAGCCGACACCACAACTGCACCCCATCGTATACGGGCGACAAACGTGTCCATCACAAGCTCGTTCTTGGGGTTTTGCCCGATGCGGACATCATGACTTGTCGGATGGGCGTTCTGCTCGACACCGTCATGCTGACCCCTCGGCACCATGCCGTTTTTGTGCCGTCGGCATTGATTCCCTTGAGCATGCATTGCTTAACTGCAGCGCGCACCAAGTCGCATGCCAGCGCTGGATGCAACAGTCTGGTAGCTCTGCCCCACTATGGCTGCACAGGCTCTTCAGCACCAACCCTTGCATCAACAGCGCACGTGACATGTCGCGCAACATTGCCTATGTCGCACATGTGTGCCAAGCAGCTGCGGCATGTGAATGTTGATCACATTCCGATATGAGCGAGTGAGTACCGCTTGCGTAGGCTCCGTAATAGCTGTACAAATTGTCTACCTCGTGAGTCGAGCTTGCCAACTCTTCATTGAAGTTGATGTTGCCACCTCTTCATTGAAGTTGATGTTCACCTTCTTTGTGTTTTTGTTGCTTTTTGCTCCTTGCGCTTCATTGCCATATGAACGGGTTGGCAAGCAAAGTAGTTTCACGCTCTGACCAGGACACATGGTCGTTAACGGACTCGTCTCTTTGCAACACTTTTGCAACCAAGACGTCCAAAGCGATTCTTTTGCGAGGGGTTTGGAAGCAATCTGGCGGTGAGCACTGAGATCACACCAAGCGGCACTGCGAGTAAGCAAAGCATACATGCACGCATCATTCCATCAAGACGGCTGTTTCTGCGAGGGTCGTGTCCTAACTGAGAAGTAATCAGCACGCCACAGAATGTGCAGAGATTGATAATAAAATTCATGAAGGTGTTTGCGCGTTTCAACAAGTGGAAGAGGCAGTGGTTCACGCAGTAATGGTTGCATTCGGGTGCTCCAAGACAGGATTTGAGGTTGCTGTGTCATCAGCAGCTTCAACCAATCTCGGACGTGTACAGTAGGTGGTGGTTCGCTGATGACAACGCCTGCTTGTTTTCGCAGCGTTATCACCAAAGCAACAAATCGTCACCCAGCAGTGTGCTTGACACCCGGAGATGCAAGAGCTAAATTTAAGTTGGCACCATGCCTGTGAGTCGGAACTTCCGCATGATGTTGACTTGTATTGAATGTATCAAGGAGCAGCCGGATCAACTCCAAACAACTGTGGTCAGCATCGCGGGGAGGGTGTGAATTCATGAGACCAGGGAACCAAACGATAGAATCACCGGCAACGACGAGGGGAACCCCCGGCAAGGCACGAACAACATCACCGACAGAGGCAAACAACCTTTGCCAAAAAAACCTGTCCGCAAAGAATCCCGACAGCCGACATGCGGTGCATAGAAAGAAGCGAGCGCAAAAAAACCTCCACTGAATGTCCGTTTGGTCGGCAACAATGGAAGGGATGGGCGATAAGGACAATGAGGTGTTTTCACGGTGCAAGCAAGCAACATCGAAGGAGACGCGTGAGTCCATGAGAACCGACTCCGACCAAAGTCTATTGCAGTTGAAGACAGCCAGGCAGCACATGCAGGGCGCATCGGAGTCGCCTGTAGTCACCGTGCATATATCGGTGACGGGGATTGCGGCCTCCTGGAATGCGGAAAGGCGGCACTGACGGGCACATGAACAGACGTGTGATCATGAATGGCCGGCGGGGAATCAGGGAGTTCAGTGGACGCGGAAGAGATTGCATGATTTGCGCTGTGACGGTGTAATTTGACGAACACTGTCGCGGCAACGCAAGGACTCGCGCTCACGACGGGCGGGCTGCTGGTTGGAGTTCGACATAGGAGACCCTCCGCACCCACTGGGCACGGTGCATCGTGTTTCGGCTGGGAAGGACGTTGTGGGGAGTCTTCTCCGTTGCGGTCCAGCTCGCGGTTGCCTGTCGCCGGCACAGCCTTCGTCGCCTGTGGCCCGCTGCCGGGCCAGCGATGGACCGTGTGCTCGTCGCCGACGAGGGGCCACTTGCTGAAACAGAAGTAAGACCAGCGTACAGTAGCAGCAAACCCAGGCCGCAAAGGGCACATGGTTGCCAACGTGCTGCCACTTTCGCTTGTGTCAATTTTAATCCTTATTGTCCTTCATCTTAGCCATTCTCCATCAGCCCGCACCAGCCCTCACAATACCACGTTGCACAGCACAACAGATGTGTGAAAACTCGGCAACCGTACACTTGCAACCATTTCATGTCTGCCGTAAAAAGTGTACGTAATTGTAATGTTTTTTTCTGCAATTGTTAGCAACGCAATGACGCAGTGTTGCCAGAACGTACCAGCTTCATGACATCCATGCCGAGCAGTCAGTTGATTTGTTATTCAGAAAGCAGATGGCCGTTCCACAACGCAATAAAGCAGTTTGCCGTTGTCATGGGCCGTTGATGGGGTAGACCAGATGTTTGAAGTAAACATGTAGTCATGCTCATGCCATGGCATTTCTCAAGGAAGGTTTTTCCAAGATCATTCACGCCGTGAAAGGAGATGCAAGCCAATCGGTACCATACGACGGCCGCTTATCAGCTGACTGTTTCAAGGTGCATGAAGGAATATTGCTGGGAATTGAAAACTTGGTGCCCCGCACATTGGCATATTTGCCGGGAGCCGGGTTGATCGGCTTCTGCACAGCGGCTGGCCATGTCAAACTTGTTTCGGACGAACATGAGATGACTTTGACCAATCCGGCTGCACCCTTCCAGCCGGAATTTCTGTGCTTCCCGAGGGCTGGTCTGATCTTGCTGGTGGGCGTCGCCACATCACCTCAGAATCCAGCAACGGTCCCACAGTCATCATCGTCAGTGGGACCTCCCAAGAGCGCAAGTTGGATGGCCCAATGGTGGGAGCTGAGTGGAGGTGGGCCACACCTTCCGCAAAGTGCCTGGCTGCGATTCGGTGTGACTTGCACAGCAACAGCGGAAGATGCGTGTCTGGTTTTCCTCGGTACAGACGAAGGTGATGTCCGTGTCTTTGATGCTGGCGAACGGCCGCACGTGGGATCTTATTGTATTTCGTTCGCATCCTTGCACAATCACAAAAAGCCACAAAGCTTAGCATGCCCAATCACAGCCGTGGCGGTGGTTCCTCAATCCGGGCCAGAGTTGTTAGTGGCCACTGGAGATGGAACCTTGGTGTTATGGTCCTTTGACAAGCACCGTGTTTGCCGAACGTACGATTGCAGTTCCCCTGTTGTTTCCTTGGCCTGGTGCCCTTCTGGTTCGCATTTTTTGGCAGCATCGCGCAGCGACATGTCTATTTTTTGTCGCTCGAGCTCTTCGGTATTGGTCTGTGTAGCTCTCCCAGGTGGCAAATCCCAGCTCGCAAACATTTTGCAATGGGTTGTTGGAGACCTCTCGGCGATTCCGCATGACAAGTTGCCGAAACACTTGGGCCAGGTACTTCTGCTGCGGACCATCCCAAATGCTGCACTGCTGCGGGTTTCGGGAGAAAGTTGGTCACACGTTGAACCGATCATGGCAGATGTCACAAGTGCTGTGCTGTGTCATGGAAATCCTGATGGCCAGCTCTGCGGTTGTCCAAACTTGCCAGCAGCTGCGCTGGCACAAGTGGGGTCAACCGGGGAAGAAACGGCCAGACAAGATACCTGTGTGCTCGCAGTTCGAAGGACACAAGCTGGTGCATCTGCTGTTTCCGTGCTAGGGGCTGGTGCAACCCGAGTTTGGCCTGCCAGCTGGGGCTCCTTGCAACTCTCCAATGTGTCTTGCATACAGCTCCTGCCAAAACAGGCGCTGCAGCTTCAGGATGCTGCAGAAGCAAGCGAAGCAAGCTTGCTTGAAACTTGCCCCAAAGCCTCACAAGCAGAAAACAGCGCAGGGGAACCTCGGGTGCAATGGGCCGTCCGTGATGGGACCTTACAGGATTCAGTGGGTACGTCTTGTGGTGAAGGGTTTTCATCTACTGATGGCTGGTTCATCTTGACCGGCTGCGACGGTGTTTCGGATGCAGGCCATGCTGTGGGAGACACACTTCACTGGAAACTGCCATCCGATGTGCAGCTTGTGGAGTGTGAGGCGAGTTTCAGCTTAGATGCCAAGGTGCTCATAACCATTTGGGATGATGCCGGGACTGAGAACACGCTGCAGCTTGACGTGCCAGAGCAATTGGCGAGCTGGGGCACAATGCAGCATGATGTTGAGCTGGCACCCGGGGCTGAGCTTTGTCTTCAGTTTCAGGCGGATGCTGATTGTGCTGGATTCAGTGTGGCTGTCGATGCTTGCTCGCTTCCTTGCCGGGTGCAGCGACCACAAGCCATGCTCTGGCGCTGTCAGCAAGGTGAGCTTCGAATCCGCCACATGTTCGCACGCATCAGCTCGACCGATTGCCTGGAAGATCCGACAGTATTCAGCACCGAAGAGCCACGCAAACAATTGTCACCCACGCAGCTTGTGGAGATGATGTTTGCACACCACGTGGCGCACTTTAGGAGCTTCGTGCAAGGCACTTTCCTTTCGCCGAACTGCGAGGCCTTCGTCGGAAGTTGGGCACTGCTTGCTGGAGGCTGTCAGGGCCTATTGTGTAGTGGGAACAAAGATGGCTGCATCAGGATATGGTTGCGCAGTCATTCTTCGGTTCTCCTTCTGCATGTTCTTTCAGTCCAGTCCCGGGCATCTCTGCCTTGGCGACCTCGCTTTGATCCCAGCTCGGGCTTGCTAGAACCAGGCCCAGGGAGCGGGGACCGGCAAATCTATGATGGCGTGGACTCGTGTCCTCCTTTCCCAGTGGAGGCAAGCGGGCAAAATGTCGCTATAACTGCGGTATCTCTGGAACTTGCAGCTGGCGCGGTGGTGGCTGGCTGCAGCTCTGGTGAAGTTGTTCTCTTCATGTGGCAGAACGAGGCACAAAGGCTCTCTCCAGCAGAAACGGCGGAGTGGAAGGTGCAGTCTTTGCTGTTGGCTGCTCAGGAATGTGGTACGGGGGGTTCGGGTGCTCAGGTTCCGGAGCCTCCAGAGCTTCCTGCTGGCTTTGTTTGTTCCATGAGGTTGAGACAGCATGAGGCATGTGTCAAGCAGCTGCAGATCATCTCCGATGGCAGATCTTTTCAGATTCTGTCAGTGGATGCAACCTCACGTTTCTGCGTGGTCGACTGTTCAAGCGGGCAGTTGCTATTTTCCCAGTCGCTGGCATCCCTAAGCAGCGAGGTGTCTCAGCCGAAGGTGCCACAGCTGCCAGTTGAAACGCTTGATGCAGTTGTGACGTCGAACTGTATTCTTCAGGTCAGCAGATCTAGTCCGGCACATGCGGCGGTGCCAGCGATGGACGCCAACCAGTTGAAGATGAACTTGTTGGCGAAGGATGCCACGGAGCCCGCGCCAAAAGCCTACCTCCTGGCATTCTCTAGTGGCGAACTAAGACAAGTTGCCGGCCCGTCCAATGATTTGAAGCTTTTGGACAACCGCATCAGGGAAACACGCTTGCCTCAGCTTGCTGGCGGCTCCTTCCTGGGTTGTTTCCTGAACAGCGACTTTTTGCTGACAATCCAATCTTTTGGCCTCAATGTCTTCAAGCGTGAGGGGGACAAGCTACATTCTGCAGGGCAAAGCATCAAGTTCAGCACTCGTGCGATGGAGGCCGGGGTTGTAGATTTTGATGGCGAGCTTTGTCTTTATGCGATCCTCCGAAGTGGACAGTTAGACATACTGGCTCTGCCTAGTCTGCACTCGATTGCGTCACTTCCGGTCGGGGCTTGTGCGGCCCAAGCTTTAAAGGGCCAAGCAGATGCAGCAGACGGCGATCAGGTAGGTTTTTTTCCTGGAGGCTCGGGCATTTGCTCGGATGGTTACATGGCTCTGCACTATGCCGGGGCACTTTGGATTGGTGGTGCTTCAGAGGCAAGGGAATGTCGAGCTCTGGAGGCATCTGCGAAAGCAGCAAGCTCTGCATACTTGATGCAGAAGCTGCACGGGCTGCCTGCATCTGATGCTCCGGAAAGGGGCCCCAAGCCTGTGGGCATTCTTGGCACACTTTTCGGGCGCACCCAAAAAACTATGCGTGACTGCCTTCTTCCTGCAGAGCCCCTTCCGGCAGAGGTGGACGGGAATCTATTGGATCAGGGCAGGGGGTTGGCTCCGGCCTGGCAGTCGCAAGGGCGGGCACAGTCGCATAGTGCCCCGCAGACTCAGACGACCAGACACGCAGCTGCGAACGTCCGGGAAGCACTAGCTGGAGCCACTGCAAACGCAGTCGAGCGAGGAGACAAGATTTCAAGCTTGGCAGACAGCTCGCGTCGATTAGCCGACAATGCCGACCAGTTCCTGGACTTAGCGAAGCAGCTGAATGCGCAGCAGAATCGCTGGTTCTGATGCAAAGAAATGCTGGGTGGTTCTTTTGTGCTGTGTCTACCATGCGCCAGGATTACCAGCCAGCCTAGCCACAAGTTGGTTGGCTTAAAGGCGTGAGCCGTAGCGACTCCGGCATGTCAACATGTGTCATGTGTACGCTTGCTAGTTTGTGCCTAAAGGTCCTTTCCATGCAGAACAGACATGCTGCAAGCAGGTCAGGCAGTGAGCATCCTCATACCGCTGAGGGAGGGAGCAAAGGCTTGCAATGGCACGACGTGGGATTTCCAACTACGAACCTTCTGGTGGACCGCAGCAGTTCAACATCTTTTGGCAGGCTCCAGTCTCTCTCTGCAGTCTGCGGTAGGAAGCAGTCCAAGCCTTCAACTGCTCTCAGCGTAACCTGTGCTAGGAGACGCTGCGCTCCAGCAACGATGGTATCTCAGGCATAAAGCAAGCCTATGATCTGCCAGCCAAGAGTTGCTGGGCTTGCAGATCTGCCTCCGCTAACTTCTTCGGAGATCCAGCACTGCCGCCAAGCATTAGCGAGGTAAGCCGCCGACCATTCAGTTGCAGAGCCAGCCTGCTCTCTTTCCAAGTAAGGTTCCTTCAAAAATGCAGCTTGTCTCTGCACCATAGCACATGCAAGAGACGGTCCTGGACGAGAAAAGGCTTTTCAGTCAGGAGCCGAAACGAAACGAGGAACTTGCGCGTCACGAGCGGTGCACCGGATCTGTCACTTGCCTAGTTATCGGCTCTGTCAGTTATATGACTGCTTCAGGTGACCACCACAAACCGTGAACTCATGCGCAAGCCACGCGACTTTGTGCTTGCGGCTCCCAATCCTGAGCATCTTGGCACCAACGCCTACTTTGAGCATCTTTCTTGAGGCATGCAATGCTAGGAACAGCAGTTGGGGACCAGGCTCCGCATGGCTCTGGCCGAGCCGAGCGGAGATTTCGGTCGGGCCGGGCGCAGCAGCTGGCACTACAACCTCAGCCGCCCGCTTGGCCGGAAGGTGCGACGCTTCCGAGCTATCCACCGGCCGGTAGAGATGCAGGGCCCACTATAACTTTAGAGCGCCAAGGAGTCTAGGCATGAAGCTTCGAGTGGTCACCACGCGAGGTGAAGCTGCATTCAATGGCTTCTGCCAGCTTTGATGGTGAGCATCTGCCGCACATGGCATCACTGACGGGCACGTGGCCGCGTGGCGCTGATACGCATGATACACGTAGATGGCCTCCGTAAACGAACGTGCTTGTCTTTTGCGAGCTGCTGAGGGCCGATGTGTAGCCTCTCCACGTGAGTTTCCATGTGATATTTGGAAGTGACCTGAGGTCGACTCTGAAATACGGCTGGAACGGCACAGCAACGGCAAACGCCCAAACCTTCAACACGATATTTCCAGCCGTTTCTGATGACGAGCCACCGCAACTCTCCAGACCCTCAACACACGCAGGCAGGACTCCATTGCCTCTACCCTGTGACAGCGACGTTGATGTCTGCGTCCTGCGGCTGTTTCAGGTACGTCGATAGAAGCGGCCTTGCGACTGGCCAGATCGCCACGGCGGAGCCTGGTACCAGTAGCTGGGACATCTGGGACTGATGCTTGGCCCATGAGTTTGTTTGTATGGTCTTGTATAATTACTTGTACTGGCAGGATTCTTTTACGTGCTTTTGATCTGGGCTGTGCTTGGCCAGGGGTGGGTCCTCCAGAATCATCCACCAGTAAATTAAAGCAACTGCCAAGGCATCGAGGAAAGGCGAATTCGAAGCTTTGCTAAATCAGTCGGGGCTGTCCACTTGGACAGAGTTTGCGCCCAGCATACGACACCCTCGACTTTGGTAACGCTACCGGGCATTGACCTGCCTGGTTTCCTGGGCTTGAAGGAAGCCAGCGGTTGATTCCGGACATAGTTCCAGCGGCTGCAGATAGCATGCTGCAAGGATTTTCGTTGCTTTGCCACAGCTGGCATTATGGCGAAAGACTGGTCTCTGGCAGACTTGCCTCCTGACATATCTTAGCTACCGCCATGATGGCAGACTAATTCAATTTGTTGGCTGTGCAGGCTAAGTCGAGCACGGATCTGGGCCCTCATTTCCCAAGATAAATCTGCCAAATGGGCATGCGAGTCCAGATTAAATCGATACAGGTGCGTGCTCGCGCTTTCGCAGCATCGCGGCTTTGAGAGCCTACGGTAATGTGTTGCTGCGAAACCCTTTGGCGCAGCGTAGAAGTGCTGGACATCCAGCCAGAACATGGTGACTTCGAGAGCAACATGGACATTTTCCAGATGCTCACAGAAGTTCCAGCCGGATCTGTGGTTCTCAAGGTTCATGCAGCAAACGGGTTTTCAGAAAATGTCGCAAGCTGCGACGCTTCCACAGATGGCTGATGCCAAAAGGTGCTAGGAAGTTCGTGTCTAAGGCACAGCTCTCCCACATCCTTGGCTGCTAAAGGCAGGCACCAGGAACTTGGTAGCTTCAGCTGCTCCCGTAGAAGCTTTGTCGATAGTGGATGACGGATATATGCCCTTAGAGGCACAAAAGGAGATAGGCGAAGGATGAACGACGCGGAGTGCGCGCAGGTATTTGTCAGCACTGACTCGTTCGGAAGCCGGTGGGCACCCCCCATGCACTTCACATCCATGTGGCAGTTTCCCATGCCCACTACAGATGCAAGCAACACGGCGCCGCCTTCGCTTGGCTCGTTTTGGGCAGAAGCTGTAGCTAAAAGAGTTACACAACCTTTGGTGCGTAGTACACAGCCCCTGGCTCTGCCATTGCCCGCCTGTCCGTGTCCGCCCGGCTGCCTGTTGCAGCTTCTCAATTGCCAAGGTTGGTCCATGGCTCGCCGCTACGATTCGCGAACTACCACCTTTTCGCCCGAGGGCCGTTTATACCAGGCATCTTGCAGCTCCGAATTCGGGGCCCGGGTGTGGGAGAGTAAGTCCCCAGGTCGAATATGCCATGGAAGCTATCAACTTAGCGGGTTCGACCGTCGGCGTCCTTGCAGAGGCCGACGGGTCTCTTCTCTTCCTGCCACAAGGGATAGCCCGTAGCGGCGATAGCGGCTGGTCTGCTGGCCTTGCAGGATGGCGTGGTCCTTGCAGGAGAAAAGAAGACGACGTCGAAGCTCCTGGACCAAGCGAAACAGCACGAGAAGCTCTTCCAGCCTCTTAGCAGTCTTAGTAGTCTTAGCACCTGCAAGAAAAAGCCCAGCATCTTTTCTGCGTCTCGAGTCTAGGCTGGACGATGCGATGTTCTGCCTGTGCCTTACGTTGCATGATCGTTGCTCGGCCCCGAGACCGTACCGTGCGAAGGTGCAGTAGCAGGCATTACTTCGGATGCGCGCGGTGCTTAACGAGCATCGCTGGTGGCGATAACTTAACATGACGGCCTCACCAGCCGAATGCGAAGGAACATCCTCATCAACAGGCTGCGTCTGAGTGCACAGCAGCATGCCGGGACCCAAAATGTTGTCAAGCGCTAGCTGCATCCTTGGTCAGACGAGTTTAGGGTTTCTTGTGGAGACCATCTCCCGCAGTTCATTCTCTTGCCTTGGGCACGTCTTCGTGTTTCTGTTTTTGGTGGTCGTCGGCTGTCTGAGTCTTTCGCCACACAGGCTTGTGTTCAGCTCTCTTGCTGTGCTGTGCTGAGTGGAGCTCTGCATTTGTCAATTATCGTCTTGGACGAGGCCTATTCATTCTCCGAGCCAATGCCTGTAGAGCAGCTCGTCACTTCCATCTGCGACTACAAACAGGCAGGTAACATGTCCTGTGCCAGCTGCGCAGCTGCCGTGCACTGCTGCGGCCTGCGAGGGCTACACCCAGTTCGGTGGCCTGCGGCCGTTCGGAGTGTCCTTCCTCGTAGCTGGCTATGATGTCCACCACGGCTTCCAGTAGAAGCCTAAATTGTTAGATCCACCACGAGCCCCAATTTGAAAGTTTTCTTGTTGGCGCTGTCTGAGATGAGCACCCGAGGCTGTACCACACCGACCCTTCAGGCAACTTCAGTGGTTGGAAGGGCTATGCCATAGGCCGGTCGCACGTGTTTGCATCCAGACTGTGGTCCGCATTGTAGACAACCATCGGAAAGGCGTGAACAACAACACCGCCATGCAGATCATGCGGCAAGATTGGAAACCAGGCCCGGCCAGGTTCATGACTCCAAACACCCGCACATTGCACAAGCCGGCGAGAGAAACCACTGGGACATACTGGGACAGGCATGAAGATCCAGGAGGCCTTGGAGCTGACGGCAAAAGTGCTAGTGACGCCCCTGAGCTCTCGCTGCAGCCACCCTCTTTGGGATCATGCAAGCGTTGCAGAAGAACCATCCTTGAGGTCAAGACAATGGACACGGCTTCGCCAACTGCCGAGAGGCTTGAATTCGGAATTGTGTACAAGACACCAGAAGGCCAAGCCACTCGACTGAAACCGCTTCCTCTTCCTCCCTCCAGAAAAAGAAAGCGAGCGCAAGACGCTTTGTCTCTTGCACTTCAGGTGAAGTTCCGCATGCTGAAGGAGAAAGTTCGCCGGTTTCGACTCGCATGTTGTGACTACTGATCACATCTTGGCACTGAGCGCTGCCTCGTTTCCGGCGGCTCCTTGGTGATCTGAATGTCATGAGCCAGAGCCAAACAAAGAAAGCCGGCGCAGGACACTGAGATCAACAAGCTGATGGCCGATGCCACACCAAAGGAAGGTGAGGAAGGTGCCGCCCCAGCCTCCTGAAGAAGGCCACCGTGGGTAGGGCCAGCATGCCGAGTGCTGAGACAAGCTTGTGTGGAGAGCTGCCGCGTGAGGCTTTGCATTCTACATTGGATGAGACGTGAAACGGGGCCGGGTCGGTTAGTCTTTGTCGACGGATGCATGGATTAGATTTTTCATCCCCTCTTCATGCAGCAGAGCTAGCTTGACGCATCTATTTGAGAGCTTGACATCGTATGGCATTCGTAGTGACGAGCTGATTTTGGTGCCTTGCTGGAAATCTGAACAGCTAAAGCCAGGCGATGAACAGGGCATGTGCGATCGTTACGGCGCAAAAAAGCATCGATCCTCGATCTGGCTGCCTTTCCTGTCCACTGACTCCCACTTTGAGCACCTTCGAGTTCGAATCTTCTGCACTCCTGGCTCGAGGGACTGCCTGGACCCAGGAAGGATGGCCTGTGATGGCGTAGGCGAGTCCTGTGGGCCTTTGGGGCGCCGTGCCGTCCTCAAGCTTGGCGGGCACTTTTGATCTTTGGCAGTTTTTTTACTCGTCTGCCTTTGAAGGTCTGCCAGCAAAAGCGTGAATGGGTTCATGGCGCCCAAAGGCTCCTGCACGCGTAGGACGCTCATATCGCAAACGCCACGTGCATGATCATCAGGTGAGGCCGGTGACAGCCCAGACCTCGAAGCGCGGGCCATCCTCGACGAAGCCGAGAAGCTGCTGACGCTAGGCAAGCTCGAGGAATCAAGCGAGCAGGCCAGAAGTGATCTACAGAGATTCTATGCTGTCCCAGTCGGTGCTCCCGCAGGCATTGGTTGCTCGGGAGTACTTCCTGGAGACCGGAGACCTTGCGAGCGAAGCGGAGGCCCCGCTTCGAAAAATGTTGAACTCGCAAAAAAGAAAATAAAACTGACTCTCGAGCAGGCCTTCCGGATCGAGATCCTGGCGAAGCAAGATGAAGGCCAATTTGGTGGAACTCGAGTGTGTCCCTGCTCGAAAGGGTCCCTGTCGAGTTACTTCAGGCGAGTACGGAGCAAGGACTGGTGAGGTAGTGCTGAAGGCCACGAGGGCTTTGCAGCTCTAGATGTCTTCGGTGCATCGGAATGTCCTGTTCCGCTGCGCAAGGCGAGTGAAATCGACCTCCTTTGCGAAATCGAGCTTTCGCGAGCCAAAGCTGCTGGAGACATCAAGGCAGCGTGAAGCGTTTTGCTCCGATGCCCTCCTGCGCGATCACACCCAGTGTCCCATGATGCAGCTGCTGTGGAACTCTTGCGAGTTGTGTGTCCGGGTAGAGGGGGGCATGCTGGCTCATGGTCTTTCCGTGAAGGAGACAAGGAATGTTATTTTGATCAGTGGGCTCAGGCAGAGGCAGTCTTGCTGTACACGCTGGTGGAAGTGAATGTGACTCGCTCAACACACAAGATGCGCACGGAGTCGAAGGAGTGGTGCGATGAATCCATCAGGAGCTCGTAGGGTGAAACGGTCACGTTGTCATGTGCCTAGGATGAGAATTTCGCCGGAGTGCTTGTTGCTGCCCACATGCTTTCTGTCCCTGCAGACTTTTCGAGCAGCTGGGCGCAACCTTCTGGCAAGCACGCGCCGTTTTGATGATGGCTCCTTGCATGAAGCTACCTGTTGCATACTCTGTCTGACTCTAGCTCAGCAGCTCGAGAGAACCTGCGGCTGAAGTGGGCCGAGTCTGCACCCAGGTGAACGTGCAGCATAAGTTTCAAGATTCAGACAACATGCAAAAGTATGCCAAGCAGGCACACGAGCTCTTCGGACGGGTGCTTCGCCAGAGAAGGTAAACTTTCTGTTTAGGTGCAAACGCTAAGCCTGTCGAGAAATACAGAACTCAGTGTTGATGCAGGCGATTGTGACCATGCTTCTAGCCATGCGTGGAGTGTGCAAGGTCGGGGATCGTAAGAGGCAGGGGATGGCCCTACATGCAAGCAGCCTCGCGTACTTGGGGGAGAAGAACACCCCTGCTGCAATTGACTGCGGGCTGCAAGCTTTGGCAATTTACCGTGACATTGGGGAGCCTCGTCTGCATGGAATGATTTGGCCTGAGTGGCGAGCGCCGTTTATGAACTGGTACAACAACAAATCCCTCCAATTTGTGTGTTCCGCCTGCTACTCAGGCTCTTTGCAGAGCCCGGGAGGGAACCCGAGTCGTTTTAGCAGAGTGCAGACCCTTTTTCTGCTGCTTCCCTACCTCAACCTGAGGATCGACGATTGGAGATTGCGGAGCTGAAGACAATTGCTGTGTGGCGGATGGGGCTCGAAGGAAACCAAGGACTCGGTACATGCAGCAGGGGCCGAAACTGGCTCTGGGCTTGGAGTTGCTTGCCTCCTGCTTGTACCCATGCAGTCCATACATGAAGGCCAGTATTAGTAAGGCTAGTAGGACATGTGATGAGAGGAAAGATTGCCGCCCGCGAAGCGCTGGAAGCTCTGGAGCTGTCGCGGAAGTACACGGAGCCCAATCAGGAGATCCTTCGTCCGATTGCATCTGGGTGGTAGTCTACTTTGAGCAGTAGGATGTACAGCCTGTGTGGCTTGTTGGCTTCACTACATTGCCGCAGGAGACGGTCACGTTACATGTGGCCCTGCAGGCTTTGCTTCAGATAGGCTGGGCAACTACTGGACTGAACATTGACATCTGTTGAAGCAACGAGTGATCTTTGTTAGAGAGCGGTCTTCCTGCAGGCGAGCGCAAAGAGGCACTTCGAGCAGCGCAGATTTCGTTGAAGCGCTTTCAGAAGGACATGCTGCACGGCACGTTCTCTTGCAAGTATCTTCTGGGAAGCGTTGCAAAATCCGGTAGGTTTAGGGAAGCAGAGAGGCTCCGCCTGGCCAGGACCCCCGCTTGCAGATGGAGACGGCCACGTTGCAAGTTCTGGTAGACGAGCTTCAGGCGCATAGCGGGTGAGCGTTTCCGGGCGATGCTATCACGCAAGGCTTTCTTGACATTAGGAGGGACCCAGTTGAGCAGGGACCCAGTTGAGCAGTGTTTCTGCAGCTCTTGGCCAGCTCTCTGGTAGTCCCCGACCACTGCACAGGTCAGTAGGCCTCAGTAGGGAGTCTCCGAATATGGATCTCGATTTGTGTAAAGTGTAAAAAACAAAACACACACTGCGAGAAGAAAGTTACCAAGTACTGTACAGGCCTGGTGCTGTTGCCACATCAAAAACTGAGGGCTTGGACCGGCAAGGACCTGAATCAGTTTTGGTTTGCCCGCCTCGAACAGCCCTTATTAAGTCGCAGAATGTCGCAGACGTGGGTCGACAACCTTTCAGACCGCACCTTCTTGATTGGTAATGCAGAGCAGAGCATATGACTTGTCCATGCAAATTTAAGTAAAGGAGTACGGCTGCTCACTGGTCAGCAACAGCAGAATCAGAGAAAAAGGTATTGGCAGCTCGTGTGTGAATATGCAGCATCAACTACATCAGGGCTGTCCTCTAAGTGCAAGCGTCCTTCGGCTTGCATGTTAGCGCTTCTAAGTCGTCTTCACTTTTGCTTTGCTTCGTGAAGCCACCAGCTTTGACGACGTCGCAGGGCAAGAAGACGCAAAATGAAATGGAGCTGATGCAAGGAATCAAGCTTCTTTGATGCAGAAGGTGCAGAACCCTTTGCTGCAAATTTGATGTCAGCGCTTGTCCTTATGCCCGGGTTCAAGAATGTCATGCAGCGCAAGGGGCACTCATGCAGCCCAAGCGCCAAAGCCGTCGTCCCCATCTGGTTTCAGGGTCGCACTCTGTCACTATGTCTGAGGTCACGTAAGCAAAGGATGCACATCCTCATTGACTTGGCCAGGCGAGATCGATGGGCCTGGAATCACTTGTTGTGCCTGCAGTTTAAGCGGATTCTGGCAGAAAGCATCCAGGCAACTCCCCTTCACAACTCGCGATCCGGAGGTCACACTGCAACAATGGGCAGATGGATGAGGCTGAGGCCGCCGTGGCAGAGGGCCTGGAGCTGGCCCGGGAGTTTGGCAAGACGCTCCGAGAGGCACAGGGCCTCCGGATCCTGGCCCAGCAAGGGCCCCGGTTCCTCCAACTGAGCGACGAGTCCGACCTTTGCCTGTCGACTGGGTTTCTGCCTAGGCTGCAGCTGGCCAGAGGCAACCACTACCAGGCCATGTCTTCGGTCAAGAAGTCCAGAAAGCTATCCACCCAAGATGAGGACAAGGACAGCTGCATGTTGCTGGGTCACCGATATGCTGGAGGCTTTGCGTACTTGTTCTGTTAGGCAACAGACCGTGCAACTAGCTTGACTATCACACTCTTTCACCGCCATTCCTATTTAGGTTTGGGTGCCCTAATCACTGGCGTCCTTGTCACCAGGAAGGTGAGGCAAGTGCATGGCTGCTCCAAGCAGAGTGCCATGCAGCTGCACGCAGCTTCGATGAGGCTCAAGTGTGCTGCCGCATCCTGGCTAGGTTTACTCATGACACACCTAGAAGGGGCATGGTTGCCAATGGAAAGGCACGTCAACTTTCACATGTTGTGCTCAGGGGAAGCACATGCCATTTGCGAAGAGCACGACCTGTACAAGAAGGCATGCAACTTTCTTTCCCGGTTTGCTGTTCCACAATCTCTGTGGAAGATCCACCTAGCAGGAGATCGAAGTTTGGCATCGTGTGGTCGAGCTGCACATGGCGACAAGTCATCCTGATGCCGCGCTCCAAGCTGCAGCCAAGAGAGTCGAAGTCGTGCAGCGCAACAACGGCAGTGTGAAGGAGGCTTGCCAGCAAGGAGTGCGGCGTCATGTGAAGCGTTCAAGCTTGCCAGCACCCATAGACAAAGCGCCTTGATCCCCAGGAACAGGTTGAGGCACTTGACATGCTCTGCAGCCTCATGCTTGTCCAGAAGAATGTCCCAGAGGCCGAGAAAGCCGCCGCTGAAATGCGACCCGGCAAGCAACAAGGGCATGTCGAAGGGACCCAGGTTCATGGTCGCCATCTTTAGACTTTCTGGAAGTCTGATCCAAGGCTGCGCCTGGCAAAACTCAACGAGAGCTTGGTAGACTTGGAGCTTGCGGCACTTTCTCAGCTGGTGCAGGTGGGCCACATGCCTCTACCTATGAGCATGTTGTGGCTGGTCTGATGCTTCGAAGGTGAACATCGTACGCCTCTCGGAAACACCTGGGCAAGGCAGCTTCGCTGGCAAAGCGCTTCAGTATGCCGAGCAGGCTCCTTGGCCAAGCCCTTTCTTTCGCAGCGCTGCTTTCGAAGCGGGGGGCCGAAGAGAAGCCGAGGGCTGGTCGCTGGCCTGTCGGGATGCCGCAAGCATCGAGTACAAGAGTGGGCTGCTGAGAGCGTCGGCGTTTTGTCGCTACCCACAACACAGTGGTTTGAGTCGTATTGTGTGGGCTGCCCGAGGTGCTGCCAAATACTGGCAGGCCGAAGCTCTGATCTGTGTAGGTCGACACCAACAAGCTCTGAATCTTGGTTGGAACCGGCTGGCCAAAGGGAGAATTCATGTCTCTGTTATTGTCGAGTGGACTTGAGCAGTCGGCAAGGACGGCTGCCTACGAAGCGGAAGCCCTCTTCAATCAGACCAAAAGAAGCAAAGACCATGGAGGCCTTTCAAGTGCTTGCATTTGCAGAAGTCTCGGGCAGCTCGGCTGGGGAGGCATCCTCGGTGCTGCACATCACTCTAAGTAGCCAGGAAAGTCGAGACTGAGGCTTCAAGGAAAAGGAGAGAGAGAGAGAGAGAGAGACAGAGAGAGGGGGGGGCTCTGTGCTTGGCAGGCATGCTGCGCTGTCTCCTCCTGCAGGGCCGCCTTGCGAAGGCTGCTCGGTCTCTGCTCTTTGAAGTTCGAAAGGAGAGTTCGGCTCTCTTGGATGAGGGCTGAGAGAAGCCGCGGAGGCCTTGGGACGCCTGGACGAAGCAATACAGTGCGCGGAGCGGGTGGCTGGGATGCAGACCTGAAAGCATGTACACCAGGAAGGTCCAGGAACAGCCAGGCACTTCGTGAAAGAGCATTTTAGGGCGAAGACGAACCAGGGAAGTTCTTTCATGCCCGTTGTCCGGAGTCACACGCTTTGGGCCAACAAGGCGATACAAAATGCAGTTGAAACTGGAAACTCATCTGGCGAAAAGATGGCCCGTGACCTGACTGCAGGTTTCAAGCTTGCGTTGTCTTATGTGCGAAATGGAGACCAGGAGAAGAGATGCAGCGGATCCGGCAACCAGACGAGGTACAACTGCCATCATGACTTGAGTCAAGAAGTGCACATAGATGGAAAGACGTGTTGCACTCCACTTGCGAGGACTACGCTGACTACGAGCCGGAACCGGCCTACGAAACGAGAGCATCCAGGTGCGCCTTGGGGATTTGATCTTCCGTTGTCGCAGATGTTGAAGTAGAGCCCCGACCCCCAAACGGTTGGCTTCTGGGACTTCTGGGCTGCCCAGTATGAGGCCAGAAGACGCTGGTAACGTCGTTCGGTCGCACGGCATCGACCGCGAGTTGGTCAAGCAAAAGCTATCAACACACGTGCAAAACGTGCTCACAGAGGAGCAGCCACTCTCTCAGATTTTGGAGGGATCTTGGACGAACAACATTCCAGCTGTATTAGGTTATTAGGGCCTGTCAAAAAACCATGCAAATAACCAATCTTTGAATGTGCAGTGGACATGCAAATAGTTGACTTGTTCCCCCATAGCAGCTGCAAGGCACGTGGATGCCGAATCTCCGCTCATGGACCTTGGCTTGGATAGCTTGTCAGCAATCGACTTGCAGAATCTGATTGCTTCCTCGTTCCCTTTCATGGTCGACACGGCGACGGTTCTCTTCGACTACCCGACGTTGCGTGAGCTCACCGAACACATCGTCGAGCAAAGTCAACTTGCCGGAGTTTGAGCAGGGTCTGTATCCTGGCAGTCTGTGACAGCAGCAGGCGAGGATGACTTGAATTTTGTTGTAGCTCTTCCATGCCTGGTGTCTGAACACCGAGCCATGTAAATCTGCTCCTGCCGAGCTTGCAGCTCCTGCAAAAAAAACAAGGCTACAGTGCAGGGACTTGGAGCTGGTGTGCATTTGCATGCAGTCGATGGGGTGGGGTCTTCAGGACTTTTTTATGGTTGCTGGGCTCGAGCTTTGCCATGCGTCGGCGCTTGCTTTCCTCTCGGTGGGTCCTGCGCCACATCTCCAAGGCTAGGTTGCAGGCCAGAGCTGTCCGAGCCAGACTGAGCTTGGGAGGCCAGGCGCATGCGGTGGGGCGGTCGACCCCCGGAGCCCGGGCGCAGATTTGAGGTCGCGAAGACTCCCTTTGCAGCAGCTGTGCTGGCTCCGTTGAGTTCTGCAGGCGGCAGCGCCGAGGCAAAAAGAGCTAAAGATTCAAGAGACGAGGACAACAGAACCTGGCAGGTGTCAGACCAGAGCGGGCTTCTTTCTTGTCTTGTGAGGATTCCAAACATTTTCCTGGTGCCCGGTGTGCTCGACACGGATGAGGCAGCCAGCCTTATCGCCAAAGCGGAGGAGTCGGGCTTCGAGTTGCAGACCAGCCGCGGTCCGGCCTTCGGCGAGGCCCTCCGGTGCCTGGGCAGCAAAGGCAATAGCACGGGCCGGGTTTGGATCTGCTTCAGAGCAGCGAGGCATCATTCTCGAATCTCCTTCGAAGACCAGCAGTTTGCTGATGCGCTTTGGAACGGAGGCCGAAGTCTTTTGCCTAGCCCTCTTTGTTTGTGGTGTCTCGCATGACTCGCACTGTTGAAGGCTTGCATGCGGCCCTTGCAACATTGCGCGTAGGTCGTCGCCGTCCTGCAGGCTGCTTTCAGGATTCAGTCTGCTCCATGCGTGAATGGACCGCTTCGCTGATGTGAAAGATACTGAGCAGGCTTGAACGAGAACATTCGCATCTACAAGTACTCTGGCGGAGATGTGTTTGGAAAGCATGTAGATGGCAGCAACCAGACCGCCAGAGGCAACACGGAGTTCACACTCCTGATTTACTTGAGCGGCGAGGAGCACGACCTGGTTGGTGGAGAGACCGTCTTCTATGCCAGTGGAGCCGAAGCTCTGCGAGTTCGTCCAGTCACAGGGCAGGCATTGGTTCATCGGCATGGCTCCGCCTCTCGGCTTATCCCTGTGTCGCCCTCCAAACCTGATGTTCTAACTTCTAGCTGATGCTTTAATGGGGGGGCCCAACCGGTCGGTGCCCCATGTGCCAGCACGTTCGCCCGAGGAATGCCTGCTACATGAGTCACTTCCCGTGAGTCGGGGAGTCAAGTACGTGCTTCGCTCTGATGTCGTGTTTACCGACCGATCCGAATAGATGCACTACAGCCGTCCTCGAGTGGCCGGGCCATCTTGGGGCTGCCTGCAGAAGCGGCGCCGCAGCGGGGAAGAGATCACGTCGCCACAGTGGCCACCATCGTGTACCACGAAGCCCGTGCCCAGCACAGGCCCAGGAGCACCTCGAGAGCTGCGATGCCGAGACAGATCTCCAAGAAAAAGTGGTCTGGCTGAGCTGTTTTCAAGGCAAGTTGCAATGCCCCGAGTCTTTTCGTTGGTGTTCTGACTGAGTGCTACTTGCGTGTGCAGGCAGAGCACGGAACCAACCGGGGGCCATCACTAGGTTGTAGAACCAACACCGCTTCACGTAGGGCCCAATGAAGATCTCAGAGTAATGTCCGAACAGCGAACGACATTGGGGTATTGCTCGATGGTTGCGCTATGCAGACGTGCATCCCTTGGAGCAGCCGTGGCCTAATGCAGAGCTCAGCGGTGTTTCGGGCTGGCATGGGACCCCTGCAGAATTCCTGAGGCAGCTTCGGGGCAGTCAGCACTGCTGCATGCAAGAAGCTCGGTAGACGAGGGCGAAGAATGACATGGACGTTGCCTTTGCTGGGCTCAGGTCGTTTTGTTGGGGATGCTGGCGTTGGCACCACGAGGCCTGCTGGTTGTGAGGAAGGTCGAGGAAAAGGTCTACAGACGCGTCGTGCGAGTCTTCTGGGCTTAGCTTGTCTTTGTTGGCTTTTCTGCGTGGGTTGGAGCTCTGGAAGTCTGGAAGTGCTAACTGCCATGCACCTGCTGAGCAGTAGATTGGACACTCTGGGGCTCCCTATGTCCTATGTCCTTCTTCAGTGTGAAGCCGTGGGGCCCACCCGGGAGTGGCTGAAATTAGCAGGTGCTGCGATTTGATACACGTAGGATCTCGATGGAATCACTGCCGAGCACGAGAGCGAACTGAAACCCAAATTGGCCGATCTGTCTTCTCCAGAAAGAGCAGGCTGTGTTGGCCGCTGGAGCGAATCGGCAAGTCAAAAAGGTTGTCTTACGAGCCGACAGAACTGTGCAAGCAAATGTCGCCTCAAGCAAATTACTGCTGGCAGAGGTGTCAGTGGATGGCCAGCAGCCAAGCTTCGCAGGATTCCTTCTGCTTCTGCATTCCAGTCGAAAGTGGAAAGTGTCGTCGTATCTCCTGGGAGCTGAGGTCGGTGCTTGTGCTAGGCCCCTGCAAGTGAAAACGAATGAAGACAACTTGACGATTCGGGGGGGGAGAGAGTGCCTTGTGCGTGAAGTTCGTTGGCAATGCCGGAGATCAGCAGCATCGTTGTTCAAGCCAGGAGGCACAGGCTTTCGTGGTCACTACACGACCGAGCGCTTGGTGCGTGAGGGCCACAATGCGTGGCGCCAAGTTCACGTCATACTTTAAGAGCCAAAAGGGAGATGTGCTCACGGCATTTGTGAGTAGGGGGCCAGCAAGTACAGTTTGGGTTCAAAAGTTTACAAGGTACAAGCACTGTTTTCCAATGCATCGTGAAGCTGGCTTGTAGATATGAAGCACCTGCATGACGCAGCTGCAGGTAACGGTTGTCAGCAGAGGTGCTAAGTGACCCAGCGGGGATCTGCCGAGTGTCTCTCGTGCACAATGGCAGTGAAGCAGTAGCGAAATCATGTGTCGATTGGAAGGTCTATCAGCCCTTGCCAAGGAAGCTTTTTTGGGAGGGTCCGGTGAGGTACTGGGATGTCTTCGATCGGATCACACCCCATGTGACCCACTGGAGATGCAATCGTACGTGCGTGGCCCAGTCATGCCGTCCTCAACCAGAGATTCCTTTGCAGTTGAGATGGCTTAAACAAGGCTTTCCAGGGAGCACGGCGGAGGAGTGCTTCCAAAGACCGCTGCCAAGGGACAAAAGCCGCTTATTTTGAGGGGGCATGGCGAAGAACAGCGAAGCTTCCAAGGTCGTCTGGGCTGGCGAACTGCATGGATCTCGTCAAATCAGATGCACGTGTCTCAGGAAAGGTTTTCCCAGCACTTCGCGATGTCAATGGTATGCTCTTTCAGGTGATCTTCGATGCCGTGGTGGACTTCTCAACTCGCACTCTGGACGAAATGAAGCAGGAAGGTGGTGCTTCGCCATGCATCACGTGCAAGCTGAATGCTGGCTGAAGAATGAAAGTACTCGAAACAAAAACAAAGCTGCGGGCTCCTCTTGAGAGGCCATTGAGGTGTTCCGAGACCGGGTTGCATTTTATGCCGGGACGCCAGCTTGGGTGCCAGCAGGGGGCAAAGCACAATCATGGTGCCCCAGTCGAGGTTTTCATCTCGTCCCATGCTGTTTATGACGTGTCCAAGAACAGCCATCGGCTCAGCTGCTGTTCCCTGCAGCTCATTTGCTTGCTGGCCTTGACTCGATGCTCAAGCTCCAGGAACCCACCAGGAGCCGTTTCTCTTGGAGTCCGACGCTGTGCGGCCTGGACGGGAGGTGGTTTTTGGTTTGGTCAAACTGATGTGACAACCGGTTGTGCCTCGAATGCTGCGTGGTTCTCAGATATCGCCACTGGACCGGTGGAACCTGAAGGCCAAGGGTGCAGGGTTTGAGATGGACCAGCTAAGTAAGGAGCCTTCCAGTCAGATGTGCAATAGCTGAGACAGACACTTGTAGTCCAAACCTACAGTAGCTACAGAAGATGCCATGTATACTATATGAGACTATATGGGTTCAGAAGGGTTAATATGGGATTTTGGTGGTCTCCTTCGAGGGGCGGAGCACGCGGGGTGACAACGAGCTGGAGTGTGAAGAGGAGCTCTTGAAACAGTGCTCCACACAGCGCACATGAAGCTTTTCTGCTTCTTCGCATCCACTGGAGTCAGATACTGCATGCAACTCAGCCGGTTTACAGCGCAGGTACAATGCTGGTGGCTTTCCTTACGTCACACTCCGGCTGGGGAACGTCTTTGGGCCGAAGGATGGCCAGCAGAAGATTTCAGCTCTTGTCGCATTGCTGCCAATCTGGTTGCACCACTTCCGCTTGCACGAGTGACCAGGAGAATACCATTCGCTATTGGTTGCTCCACCTCTGGGCATGTCACCAAGTTTAGCCCAGCATTCTGGCATCTAACCTCACTGCAGCCCGGCGAGGGCCTGGGCTGAGCTGAGGTCAAGGCTTGCGTGGCGTTGACTCTTCCGTTGCACATAGTCCTGGGCTCAGAGCAGCTTCGTGCCGGCAATATTCCAAAGTGGATAAGCTGTTGTTCTGTGATTGGTGGCAAGGGTGACAGCTCTAGTTATTCACTGTTTGTTCGCCAACATGTCTTTTGGACTTTGTACTCTTGCTCATCCCTACCGAGACTGAGGACACCAGCCTCGTAAGCACTCGCATCAGCATGACGTACACTCCGGATATTGCAGAGGCCGCTGCTGCACCGGGATGTTGGCATGCTCTGTGACAACCACTGAGAAGTCTGCGCAGAAATGACTTTCCCCTACTCGACTGCAGCACGAGCTGATCATCAATTCAGGCTGTCGTGCGTGCAATTTCACGCGGCCTGAACGAGACATGCTGCCCGGAGAAAGTGCATGGAGAGGCCGGGCTCATACTCATACCAGAGCCAACGGTCGCGATCTGTTGGGGCTCTTGGGAGCCTGTGTCTGTCAGGCCTTCAACTTAGCGTGTGAGGAAATGCCGACACAGAGAGAACTGCGCCCCGAGTTCCCTCACGAAGGCATTGCACATTGGTAGTGTCATTCCTGCAAGGTACAACTACATCGGAGAGTGCGGTGCTCACCGAGCTTGGCTGTCTCGAGCTGATCTGGAAGTTGTTAAGACTGTTAAGACTGCATCCTCGGAGATAGTCGGACAACGTTTCTTCGGAGTAGTCTTGACCAGTGGGATGATGCACGGGAAGTTGACATCAGGCCTGCAGGGGTGCCTTACGTGGAAACCATCGAGACTCCCCGCAATCAGCGAGTCCCGGCACATTGTCTCATCTGAGGGAAGGGGACGGGTCATCACGAATGGTCTGCAGACAGAATGCCAGTTCTGTGGTGCTCTACCCGGACAACTTGGGTGGCCCAATCAGTGTGACAAAGGACTCGTTGTGAAAGGGGGGTGAGTTTCAAGCAGCATCTTATGACACTGTTGTATAGCCAAGTGCCATCAGAATGTGCCTGCCTGTTTGACTGTGACATTTTGTGGTCGTTCTCATGGACTTCAGTTCTGAGATAAGAACGCCTTGCTGCAGGCGCAGGAAGTCTTGCGGTGGTCCCCAACGGGGCTCAGCAAAGCACTCAGGTCGGTCACTGCCTCAGTCCGAGCTGTCGAGGAATGTACCGAGAGCATGACAAACCAGGGGTCAGCTGCTGAAACGCCAGGTGGCCCGCTTCTACGAGCGAATCATGCTCGAAGGAAAGAAGCATAAGGGACAGATCGAATGCAAATCCGGCATGTTTGCTGCTACAAGCCACCTCTTCAGCCAGTGGTGGTAAACGGTGAAGTGTCTGTTTAGCTGTCGCCTCGCACGTGCCAGTCATGTACCGAAAGATGAAAGCCATGCTTGGTGGAGATGGACCGCGCTTCGTGGAATGGACGAGAGCGTCCGCCCGGCACGACCCGTTCCTTTCATGGGTCGGTACATGTGCCAGTTTTCTCGAAGGCAATATGCAGAGCGCCGAAAAACGGAGCTGTACGATGAATTGGACGACGAGGATGAGGATGACATCATCCTCGCAGCACACTCAGCAAGCAGTTATGTCACGACTTCCCGTTTCCAAGACTACACCTCAGTGTGCGGCAATCACGCCGGTAGTCGTGCAAAAAACGCTGATGTGGTGTGCGTTATCGCGAGGCAAGGAGCGACTCGAAGCGTCCCGGCAAAGGAGGGCAGGACACCTACCCTGTCGTCCTTGTCTGTTGCCCGACAACTTGTGCAACGTCCTCACTGAACTCCAGCAGGTCCAGTATTGCAGGCTTCTTTGGAGATTTTCCTGCACCCCACCATTTGGTATAGTGAGCAAGTGCAGACTCCGCCCAGTCTGGCTCAGACAGTGGCACGTATCATGAGGCACTTGTCACTTCAACGGATCACTGCTTTTGTGCATGTTTAGGTTATAGAGGCCAAAGCCAGCATTCCGGCCCAATCCCCAAGCCAGTAACTCAGCCAGTGTCAACGACGACCCCATTCGTTTCGCGTTTCCGAGCAGAGCTCCAGCCATGGGCACTGCTCTGGCGACACACTGCTGCGCGAGCGAGGAGGAAGACAAGCCGGAGGCCTTGAAGAACCTGAAGAAGGCCGGCAGGAGTTTCACTTTCGACAATGAAGATTCCGCAAACCGGCTGAGAGAGGATGTGGCGTTCGTCAGCGTCACTTTGGACAAGCAGCCGTTGACCGAGTCCCTTCAGGGCAACTGGTATCGGCAATGCGACTCCAAGCACGTAGGCTGCTTGGCAGCACAGGTGCCGTTCTATGGCGGTTAAGATCCGCTCAGACTCCTCCCCCTGTGTGCATTCAGGTGAGATCTGTGGTTCGAGCTTGTTCTGGAACCCGCAGTGGGGGTTGACTGATGTGTCGTCCCCTTTGTCCGAAGGCGGCTTGGCCTGAACGTTCTTTTTTCCTCTGGGAGGTGTGCGCGACTCGAATCCTGTGTTTAAGGCGGGAGTAGACTCGACAGTGCTTCGTGCTGAAATGCTGGCACAGTCCGGTGGTCTTCATTCAGTCTCTTCTCAGGTTCTTCTGGCCTTTTGGTTGTTCAGATGGAAGATGAGACGCGCTATGCGACTGTGACGACGAAGCCGCAAACGGCAATCATGTGGGCCGATGGTGACGTGTGGATAAGAAAGTGACGCTGACCTTCTGAACCTGCTCGTGTTTCCCGGGCACTTGGCAGTTTGTAGCCCTTGAGTCCTTGAGCATTCGTAGCCGAATGGTACGGAATCATTCCCTCCACGAAGGTAAGATCTACTGCCGATGGCCCTAAGAGCATGAAGGATTCCGCACGGTGTCGCCTAAAGGCCGGCCGTTGCGCATTCATGTCTGTCTGTAATGTAGGCTTTGCCATGTCCTCTCATTCGGTTGATTATGTGAGATCTCGTGATGCCACTGGCCAGAAGTCACGCCTAGAAGATGGATGGTGTGACTCGGACCCAGGGTTGGAGGCCAAACAACCTCCAGACTCTCAGCGAGACCGAAGTCGCCCGCACACTGGCCTGTCGTTTAATGCGACCTCTTAAATGCTACAGTGCCCAGTAGTGAAGCTCTGAATGGTTCAGCCAGGGTCGGGATTCCTGCGAGCCAGAACTTGCTCGCGGTGCTGCTCGTAGAAATGCATAAAGGGAGCCCTCCACAAAGTCTCACCTTGCTCTGATCACTCAGCCGGCTGGTGCAGAAAGTGTTGGGAGCAAGCCAGCTGTCAGATGCCGTCGCTTTGAATGGGAAGCCCTTCAATTACTCGACATGTCATTGGAACTTGGCGCCTCGCATCCTTGTGTGGTCTGTGATCATGACCAAGCTATGGCCAAACCTTGTATGGGATTCTAGCCTAGGGTCCGCAGGTCGTGAAGGACATGATGCAGTAGTCACATGTGATACACAGAGAGAACGACATGGCCACAAGTAGTCACCATGAAAGACGGATGAGGGTGTGGGGGTGGCGACCCCTCCTCTCAACCTGCGGAAAGAGAGAGAGCGCTGGTCCTGCCAACGTCCACGGCTGAGGCGGCGTGGTGAGCTATGACAAGGCCAACAGTGCTAACAGGCGCGAAAATCTTTCGCGCCTGCATGTTGCCTACCTCAGAAAGCGTTCTTACACTGAGTGTTTCGTTTCAGTGGCATCTGGCGTTCTTGGCTGCATGTGCAATTTCCTGTAACGACGCCGCTGGCTGCTGTATTGCAGATGACAGCGATCGACACAAAAGCCTCATGTTCTCTAAAGCGATGCCGAATGCGAGCAAGAGCGGCTACCGTAGTCAATAGACTGAACAGCGAGCGAAGCCATGGCACGTCTTCGTAAATGTGGTGCTGCCCGAAGCTGGCATCCATTTTGCCTTGCGGCGGTCCTTGTATACCGTGGTTTGAGCCAACAAAATGCTGTGCGGATTGCCTTCAGCATAGTAGCAGAAGCTTGTGCTAGGACGTGCAGGGGAGGTGTAGGGCACTGGTCTGGAGGTTGGTTGTACGTTCGAGACTCGTCGTACCGTGCCGGGCATTTCGAACAACTCAGGCTCTGGCTGTGAACATCGGCTGCTCGCAAGTGGAGAAGGGCCACCATGATTTTTTCACTCTTCTGTCGGAAGATATCTGGAGCAACGTCTTGCACAGATTGAACCCGTCGGAACTCGCGGTACTTCGCTGTGCCGGTGCAGGACACTTTAAGCATCAGTTTGCAATGGCAAAACATGCGAAGGCCAGCCACGCGGTTGCCGATTCCACAAGCTGAATTTGCTGCATGTGGCCATGCTGTGTAAGCTGGCCGTCGTAACCCATACTGTCCAAGAGCTCGAGAGGTTTGAGATGGCTGTAAATGCTACTTCGTTGGCGACAGCCGCCCGAACGCAAGACGCTTTAGGTCTTGACGTCGCCTCAGCTGGAGACCGTGCATATTGACATACTGATATCCAGAGCTCTCAATGTTTGTTCCGCTCGTGTTCCCGCTCTCTACACAGGACTTCTGGCACGACAGCTGCAAAGCACCTGCGATGAATCTAGGCAGCCTTTGGCGTGTCTTTCGTGCCGTCAACAGTCAGCGAACACCTGAACAAGGGCTGTTTTCTTGAAGACCTTCGAAGGGCCATGATCATCGGCGCGTCATAACTCGTGCCTACCAATCCTCATCTAAGCTTCGTTTGGGCTGCAACTAGCGACGAGGAAATGTCGATGGACGAGGCAAGGACAATCTGATAGGGCTTGCTGAGCCTCCGGCCGAGGATAGCCTGGTGGCGATTCTGGGACTGAAGGTTTGTCACGTCCTCGCGGTGCTTGGTCAAGATGAGGAAGGCCACAGACAGGCAGAGGTTTCGGCTTGAGCATGCGGGGTTTTCTTTCACGGCTGACTTTGGCCAGGGACCGAAGGGGTACTTGGCACAGAGTACGGAAACAGAACTTGTGTTTGCCACCATTCTGCGATTCGTGCAGCTGTTGAATTGGCCAAGGCCCCTCTGCTTAGTTTTGGCTGGCTTTGTACCGGCAGCCCTGTCGCCAGTGGAGAAGATGGTTGGGAAACTGTTCTGGGTAGCATCGCTCCCCGGACTATAATCAGCCTACGGTGCTATCGCAGGAGAAACAGGGTCTCTGCCTCTCTTTCTTCATTCCTCTCGCTTCGCCGAAAGTGATCGGCCACCAGGTTCTTGGGCAAGGAATCTCTAGCGAAGGAGGTCGACAGCGATGGCTGCTGGAGATTCTTTCGTTGAACGGAGCCTTGGCTGTTCGACCGGGTTTGCTTATGGAAATCTGAAGCCACGCAAAAAATGTGTGGGAGTTACTGGGTGATGGGCTGTGTCGAACCCTTAGGCCTTCTGTGCATCGGGCTGGCCGATGAGCGACTACGGTCCAACGCACTCTTGGGTACGACAACTGCTCTTCAAGCAGCAAACTTTTTTTTCTCGCTCAGTGGACTGAAATACAAGCAGCCACCTCTGCCCGCAAGGGAGGCGGAACTAAGGAGGAGCAATGGTCGCTGGCATGCGTGGGGTTGGGAACCTCGGCTTGCCATGATTCGAACTTTCATCATGGCACCCTTTCGTCGATGGAAGCGGTGTTATGATACAAGCATTCATGATGGCGCTGGTTTAGCCTGCATTTTCCATGCTTTGGAGGCTGGTAGAAAGGGTCCTGTCGGCCGGTTTTGTGTCTTTGACTTGGCACAACTCTCACAGTACCATGGTGCACCTGGGGCATCAGGAAGCCTCTGGGTTGGTCGTTTGTCTAGTGTTTGTCTGATACGCATTGCTTTAATCTTGATGACTGGCAACAGAAACATTGAGCCCTGCTCTTTCATGGTCCTTTGCACCATAGGGACACACTATGGCGATTACGAAGTATGACGTCAATGGGCAGTGTTACCGCGGGCTGCCGCCAGCGCCGCCAGCGCGACCCCCACCACCACCACCACCACCACTAGCATTACCGCAACTTCCCGCGTTAGGAACACGCTACATACACCGGCTAGTTTCTTTCCGCGTTAAACAGGGGTTCAGCTAGGGTGACACGGTCCTGCCTACCAAGTGTAGCTACTCTTGTGGCTGTATGTGGCGAACAGGTCAACTTATCACTGAACGTGCTTTCAGTGATCAATCTTACAGATAGCTTAGGGCACTGGTTGCAAATTACGTGTCTTGTGTGTTTCCCGTGAAGTCCCGGTCCAAATCCGGCTGTTTAGAAACTTCCTTCTAGTCAGAGACCCCCGAAAGTGTCACTGCCCACGGAAACGGCATTCAAAAAGAAGAACATCTACACGTCGCAAACTTAGTCTCAGGAGTTGGGCCCTCGCGGCTCTCTGGAAGCAGCACCTGCTGCTGCAAGGAGTCAAGGAGTAGAGCCAGCCTGAATGGACGCTCATGAAGATCATGGAATGTAAGATCCCTTGTCAGTGGAGAACTGTTCGGTTTCCTTTTTCAGCTCTGGGTGAAAGTATTTCTTTCGTGGTGCTGGTAGTGGTGTGGCTCTAGAGTGGAGATGGGTCGGTGCTGCGCCTTATGAAACACATCGTTTCGCTCTTTCCTTTAGCTTCACAGGCGGGCAAGGCCTGCTTTTCGCAGCGCCTTTGTGCGAGGATCCCCAACGCAGTTGATAAAACTAAGGCTCGTTTTTCCCAACCCAGGTTAGCTCCTCTGCGACACCCGAGACCGGGCGTCCTCCCCCGTGCCACCTCGTACCAGAAGGCTTGCTGATTCCACCGTGCTCGAGACGTCTTGCTTGGGTGCATCATGTCCGAGGTGGATTAGGCTCAGTAGTCCTGAGCCCTAAGCTTACTCTGCCAACAACACCAGGTCAGCGTGTCATTCTGGTCTTGCACTTGCTTCGGATGGGCTCGCGAATGCGTTTGGAGCTGGCCGCGATGATTCTCTCCTCGAACCTCGGCATGGAATGTGCTGCACCGCGCCTTCGTGATCTGCGTCGGTTTGGACTCAGCTCTTGATGCCGTCCTGGCTTGCATTATGTTCAGGAGTTGGCACTGGCACTGCCTGGGCGCGCACTCGTTCTTGACCCCTACACATTACCAGGACGCAAATGTCTGCTTCAACTCGCAGGGGTCAGCAGCTGCCGAAGTTTAGCGTTGAATGCTGAGAAAGGACTCTGTCAACGACTCCGTCAATTTGCGGCCGGCCGTCTCGACAGACATCGGTGCAACGGTTCGGGTGCTAACATCGGACGCCTTCTGCTCGACTGCCTGGCTCACGAGTTGTGCCCAAGCAGTCTTAAGGTTTCTTAGCCACTGTGTTCTGGTTCCTTTGCTCGGAATTCTCTGCTTACTGCTTGAGAGCTGGAGTCCTTCGCTGCGGTTTCCCTGATGGAGCACAGGTGGAGAAGACATCTTAAAATAGCTGCCAAGGAGGCGTCATTCAGTCGTGCGGCCGGTGAAGGTAGTCAAAGCTAAGGTTCTTTGCGGGACGCGGACTGAAAGGATGTTTCATGGCCGGGAGGATCACGGACTGTTGAACATCTGCATACTGGCATCACACGGCTGTGGCAGCAGATTCTGCTGGCGAATGAGCACGGCCAACTCCGCGATTCAATGTCGCCCCGGACGAAAGTCAGGCCGTGGGTGATCTGTAGACTCTGAACGCCTGGGACAATCAAAGCTTGTCTGGCTTGCAGAATGCAAAAGCAGAGCGGTTTGTAAACTTTAAACGTGATGCGTTTGTTCGTGTCTGTGTGCGCGCTGGTGTGTATATGTGTGTGTGTGTGTGCGTGTGTGTCAAACTGACCCAAAGCGCTTTAAGCAGATTGAGTTTGTGTCAGCCGGGGCCGCAGGCCTACCATCGTAGTTGCGGCCAACCAAGACCTCCGATGGTAGGTGTGAAACCGTACCTGCTGAGCAGGTGATAGCATTACTGTAGAGGCATCAGGCACAAGGCTGATTCCAATCGCTCACTGACTTTGAGTGATAACACTGATTCCGAAGAACGATTTGTCAGCTGCGACACATGGTGTCAAGTGTGATCCACAACGGCATTCCTTCAGAGTGCCGTGTCTCCCAGATATTGCTCTGGCGCTGACTTTTCCGGCTGATGCTATGAGCATTGGATGACTTTCACGGATTGTAGATTGATTCTCCCTGAAATGCTTACGTACGAAATTCTCACGACAACTGATTTTGACATTGGTTCCATTATGATTTCCACGGCATTATAATCCTTGTGACTGTTCCTGGATTGACTGATTCGTCGCAAGGCCTCAATTTGCACAGCCCCATGGTTCAAAGTGTGAGTAGTGATTGACTGTAGTAAAAAATGGCATTTCCAGTCCGAGGAACCACGGCAACAGGCAAATCTGTACCCCCGCCGCCACCTCCGCCACGCCAGGTGAGTGCTGGACCTCCCCTTGGCCCTCCGGTGTCCGCCCCCTCTCCCCTCCCCCCCACCACCCCTGCCTGCACCTGACGACCGTTCGACTTCCTTTCAGCATGGATGCGCCGTGCCTCAGACTGTTGCTTATCGTCAGCCTGCAGCATGTCCGGCGAGTGCTCACTGGCGGCATTACAAATGACGTGCAAGTGATGTGCAAGGGACGTGCAAGTGATGTGCAAGTGACGTGCAACTGATGTGCAGGTGATGTGCAAGCGATGTGCAAGTGATGTGAAAGCGAAGTGCAAGGGATGTGTAAGACTTTCCTTCTCAGATTGATTGGCTTCAGGAATTGCGAACCACCGTGGAACTACCGAATCAATTCCACTGAAACGGATCAGGCTGCTGATTGAGACTGATTCAGGATTATTGTGTGCAATTGACATTGAGTGGTGCAAAAATCCTGTGGAGCGGAGTGTTTGCATCCCATTGAGCCCGAAAGGGCGTGGCGAACAGCCGAGTCCGCCGTCATGTTGGCTCGATAGGCTTCAATTAGGGATTGAAAGTATTTCGATCCTGGTCTTTGCTGCGCAGAATTGGGGCGCAGCAGATCTGTAGTCAGTGCATCGTGGCCAGCGACGTTTGCGTGCCTTGTCGGCACAGTCTTCAGGCAGAGAGGTGGGGAAGAGACGGCCCCGACTCGGTGCCCGGAACCCACCCAGGCGATGTCCATGAATCGTTTTGTGCCAAAAGCAAAGAGTGAGTTTGGAGAACGAAATTACGAACACGGGAGGAAGAGAGCAACGAAAGCAGGGAAGCAGGGATATAAACAGTAGCCGCTGCTGAGGATGGCATCTTGTCACGGGGGGCAGGGGGGGGGG